GAAGGCAGATGCCCAACGACTGAGCCACCCAGGCGCCCCTAAGAGAAGCAATTCTTAAGCAAATACAGCTTAATGTCAACGGTTGTTAAATTTGGATGTGGAAACATCAGTGTTTACATTATTCTTTGTACCTTTTATATATTTGAACAATTTCACATTTTTTATTCTTTTTCAAGAAAGCAAGTGTATTAGGGTTCTCTAGAGAAACAGAACCAGTAGGATGTGTATTCAGAGATTTGTTTTAAGGAATTGGCTCACACAGTTATGGGGGCAAGCAAATCTAAAATCTGCAGGATTGAGCACCAACTGGGTGGCTCAGTTGGTTGAGCGTCTGCCTTCAGGGTCCTGGGATCAGGCCCTGTGTTGGGCTCCCTGTTCAGCAGGGAGCCTGCTTCTCCCTCTCTCTCTGCCCCTCCCCCTGCTCGTGCACACACTCTCTCTCTCTCAAATAAATAAATAAAATCTTTTTAAAAAAGTGCCCAAAGGGAACCTCAATGGAAATTAAATTAGTGGATCTTGGGTATGCACCATTTAATTTTACTCAATATCACTAAGTAGCTCTTTAGTAACATTTGATAGCTCCTTTTCCTCCACATCCTCACCGACACTTGGTATGAAAGACTAACTTTGCAAATATAATAGTTTGAGATGATAGTTCACTGTTTAATTTGCACTTAACTGTACCTAGTGAAATTTGTGTATCTTTTCCTAAGTTTATTGGCCATTTAGGTTTCTTTCCAGTTAACTGCATGTTTAATATTGCATGTTTATATGCTATGTCATGTTTCTATTTTTTTAATTAATTTGAGGGCAGCCTAGGGGGCTCCTGGGTGGCTCAGTTGGTTAAGCGACTGCCTTCAGCTCAGGTCATGATCCTGGAGTCCCGGGACTGAGTCCCACATCAGGCTCCCTGCTCAGTGGGGAGTCGGCTTCTCCCTCTGACCCTCCCCCCCCCCATGCTCTCTCTTTCTATCTCATTCTCTCAAATAAATAAAATCTTTAAAAAATAAAAAAAAATAATTTGAGGGCAGCCTAGGTATAGTCTGGTTATGGAATAAAGTTTGACTCATGTTTTAGGCATGGACAAGTGGGTGGATTGTGTGCTACTTGAATGAAGAGAAGTAGTGGAAAACGAATTTTAGAAGGAATATCATGACTTTGCTTTCAGAAATTTGAGGTGTTTTGAGTCATCCAAGAGAACGAGTCTGTGCTGCAGAGATACATTTGGGAGTTGTCAGCTTATAGAGGGTATGTAAAGTGATAGCAGTGCATGTGGTTATCTCCCAAGAGAATTTGGAGTGACGTGACAAGAGCCCTACAGAATTATGCATTAGGAGAAGGAGAATCCAGAAAGGGATCCTGAGATGGAGGGCCCGTAAAATAGAGAAAAACTAGAATTGTGTGATACCATGGAAGCCAAGAGAGGACTGTGCTCTTCCCCTGCCCCCCACCCCCATTTTTTATAATGGCTGCATAAGGTTTCACTGCATATGGGTGTACCCCCACTGCTCTTCTATTTGGGAATTTGGATTTGTCCCAGTGCTTTTCTATTATAAACTACACTTTGATGAGCACTCTTATAGATTTTTCGTTTTTCACCACTCTGATTATTTCCTTTGTATATACTCCTGTATGTAGTTTAAAGAGTATGCCTATTTAAATATTTTCACTATAAGTTGAGTATCGTCTTCTAGAAATGTTGCCTTCATTTATATTCCCACCTGAATGGGTTTGCTCTTTCTCCATTCTGGTGGTGGTGGAAAGTGGCAAGAACTGGATATTGCATACCAACATTTTTATTGGTTGCAAGTGTGCCGTTGCATGGATATTTATAATTTACTCAATTATATTGTCTTCTTGTTTTTGGTATTATAACTAGTGTTGCAATTAATAGTTTTAGCTAAATCTTTTTGCTCATTCTTAATCTATTCCTTAGAATAAATTACTGAAAGGGGAATTGATGAGTCAAAAGTATTTACATTTTTTTATTTTTATTTTTTAAAGATTTTATTTATTTATTTGACAGAGAGAGACACAGTGAGGGGGGAACACAAGCAGGGGGAGTGGGAGAGGGAGAAGCAGGCTTCCCGCGGAGCAGGGAGCCCAATCGCAGGACCCTGGGATCATGATCTGTGCCGAAGGCAGACGCTTAACGACTGAGCCATCCAGGCGCCCCAAAAGTATTTACATTTTTAAAGTTGTGGATACGTATAGATAAATCACCCTCCATAAGAGCTGGGTTCTTCCCATCAGCAGAGTAGGGAAAGGGGCATCCCTAATCTTTGGATGAACCATGTCCAAATTGCTTCTATCAGGCTGAAAGCATCCTGTATGATTTTATAAGAAAACTGTGCTCAAATAAAATTCTTAAGCAATACCGCTTTTACACATCACACTGGGGTTGAGGATCAAAATCTGAAAGGCTTTTTATTCCAGCTGCATTATCTGATCTGGAATCTAAGAATTATTTCCAACAGCATTGTGTTGGCAACCACATCATCAGAGACATTTGCAGAGGGCAGAGGATTTTTGAAGCTAAGGGCTTCAAATCACAATCGATGCAGTATGGCCATGGGGTCACTTGGAAAAGGTGGTCTCAGGTTTGACGTCATTTCGATGGAAAGTTCAGTCTTAAAAGCAGCGTATGTTTGTTAGGTTGGATTCACTTTGGAATCGAGTTATTTCACATTTTGTTGTTTTAACGGTTGACCAAAATAGGTTCAGTTGTTGTTGAGGTAAGTCTTTTAGATGCTTTTTTTTCCCTTTGAAAAACAAATGACAAATAGTCACTGTTTTATCTGCATAAAGTATGTATTTGGATTTAGAAGCTCCGCAGACACGGGATTCTTACATTAGCATCCGAGTCTTGGCGTGAGATGTGAGCGCTGTGACTCGTGTGCGGGTACTAAGGTCTTAGGGGTGGCCGGGAGCGCAGGTTGAGGTCCCCGCGGGCGTGGCGGGCGTCCCGAGCCCACACCCCACCATCCGCCGGCCACCGCCCAAGGAACAGGCCACCAAGGCGCCTGCGCAGGAGTGCGCCCGCGCGGCACCGGCCCATCCTCTCCTACTGAGGACGGGAAGGGCGGAGCTTGAGGCAGGGTCCGCCCCCGCCAGCGGCGCGCGTGAGGCTGGGGCGCGTCTTCCGCCTCGTGAGGGGCTACTTCCGGATCCGGTGGCAGGTGCCACTGGTCCTGAGTGAGGAGGTGCTGGGCGGGCTGGGCTTCGGCCCGCGCGCGGCGGGCGATGCTGGGAGGCAGCTCCGGGGCCCGGGAGCGCGAGGCGGTGGGCGACGGGGCGGAGGCTGGGACGGCGCCGCCCGCCATCGAGTTCCCGGCCGACGGCTCGGACCCCAAGTATGATGGTGAGGGACCCGGAATGCCGCGGCGGCCCTCCCCTTGCACCGGTGCACCTTCATTCCCGGGTGGGCAGGGCGCAACGAGCATCGCCGCGGCTCCGGGGCGAATTCGGCTGGATCCGGGCTCGAACCGGCGGCCCAGCGGTGCAGTGCGAGGGGCGGCGGGAGGGCGGTCTGGATAAGGTAAACACTTACTGAAACGGGCGCCTGCGACCCGCTCGTTTGTTTACGTTTCTGTTCCTGGTTTCCTCTTTGCGGATTTTTTTTTTTTTAAGATTTTATTTATTTATTCATGAGAGACAGAGAGAGAGAGAGGCAGAGGGAGAAGCAGGCTCCCAAGGAGCAGGGAGCCCGATGCGGGACTCGATCCCAGGACCCTGGGATCATGACCTGAGCCGAAGGCAGACGCTTAACCATCTGAGCCACCCCAGGCGCCCCTCTTTGCGGATTTGGCTCCGGACGTGCTAAGATTTCCCCTCTTCCCAGCTCCGAGCCCTGTGGTTTTGTCAGACGATGAGAATGAGCTTTGTAAACTTCTGGAAGGGGACTTTGCAGACCTTATACGCTTAACAGTTGGGGTTAAGTGTTTGAATTTGTAGCTTCTCTTGTCTTTTGCTTTACTGATAGGGGAGCTAAAGACTTCTCATGGTGGGTCGGTTTAAAGAAAAGAAATGATCTGTGCCGAAGGCAGACGCTTAACGACTG